AGCACTTAGACCTATATAGTGGTTTATAGATTCAGCATATTGCCCCCAACAGTCTAGGTCCTCATTTTACCAACTTCAGAAGGATGGAAGGCTGAGTTAACCTTGAGCTGGTCAGAATTGAACTCCCGGCAATCAGCAGAATTAGCCTGCAATACTGCATTCTAACCACTGTGTCACCACGGCTCTCACATCCCAGCTTGTTGATAAAGTTTTGATTCTGCTCTGGAAGAAAATCGGGTTAGAAGTCTAGGAAATACATAATCAAAAGATGGAAGCAACGTTATTAGAAAGTAGACATACAATTCAGCGCCCCCAAATGGAGAAAAAAGGAATCTGCAAACTGTAACTCTTGTGGTCATAAGTGGAGGACTACCTGTATTTTGCAATCACATATCCTATAGCAAAAGACTTATATACCAACTCACAATGCTTTACAGCCCTCTCTAAGTGGTTTACAAAATCAGCATATTGCCCCCAACAATCTGGGTCCTCACTTTACCCACCTCGGAAGGATGGAAGGCTGAGTTAACCTTGAGCCGGTGGGAATCGAACTGCTGAACTGCTGGCAGCCAGCAGAAGTAGCTTACATTCCTGCTTTCTAACTATTGCGCCACCATGGCTCAATCATGCAACCCAGGACTGCTGCAACTGTCATAAATACATGCCAGTTGCCCAATCAAGTGATCTGGGATGCTGCAATATCATAAGTCACTTTTTTTTCCCAGTGCTGTGTTAAGTTTGAATAGTCTCTTCTTGAATGGTCATAGGTTGAGGACTACCTGTATGCTAAGCTACAAACCCTTTGTTGTGTTTTTGGTAGCACTTCACAGTAGGAATCCTGAAGCCACACAGATGACTATTTCTGCTCCTTGACAAATAGAGTTTTTATAGCGTTTTAAAACGATAGACACTTTTTCTAACAGGAACTACTCAGAAAATGGAATAAAAACGCCCTGGAGAACAATGCATTGAAGTGCAAGCATCAGTCATTTCCACACAAAGCATCTTCCAGGGTCATCTGACCATTGTTGGGTCCAAATAATAGCCGTGTGGATAACCTTGATTTCACCTTAGCAATGGCCAGTGGTGTGTAAATCATTTGTGCAGAAGTGGCTGTGGGCACGTAGGAGGTTGAAGGAAAGGTTTTAAGGAAGCTTCTCTTGTTAATGTACAGTATATAGACCAGGGGTGAAATCCAGCAGATTCTGACAGGTTCTGGAGCGGAAATTTTGAGTAGTTCGGAGAACCGGCAAATACTACCTCTGACTGGCCCCAGAGTGGGGTGGGAATGGAGATTTTGCAATATCCTTCCCCCCAGGAGTGGGGAGGGAATGGGGATTTTGTAGTATCGTTCCCCCGGGAGTGGGGTGGGAATGGAGATTTTGCAGTATCCTTCCCCTGCCACGCCCAACAATCATGCCCACCAAGCCACACCACGCCCACCAAGCCACGCCCACAGAACCGGTAGTAGAAAGTCACTTTCACGTGATCGTGGGACATTGCTGATGGCCAATAAGGTGTGCCAGTTTTCAAGCATTCAAAATACGATCATGTGATCAGGGGAGTTGGGGGACTGCAGCCGTCAGAACTTCAAAAATCAGGTTGTAAAAGTTTGGGGAGGGGTGGGGTTCCGTCATCACTTTGAATAGTCACTAAGCAATTGGTTGTAAGTCAAATACTACCAGTTTTTGTTACCTTGCCAGCCTAAATTATTGGGAATTTCCTGGTGTCTCCCATCCAAGTTTAATCCAGAGCGGATCTTGTTTAGCTTCTCAAGAGCAGCCTGTTCGACAGAAGATGCTGGCTCCTGATCTGACATTCTGCATATAAGTAGTAATCTTCTTTACTATATGGGCACATTCAAAGAATTTTCTAGAAAACAGAAGGGTTGGCCCTAAGGCTTCTTCTGGGATTTTTTTTTTTTCATTCCAATTTCTCATAGTTCAAATTTCCCAATCTCCCTTCCAAAACATTTGCCAGGCAGCCCCCAGCTTAGCATGTTACCTAGAACTAAGGAGGCATTTCATGACAGTTAAAACAATTAATCTATGGAACGACTTTCCTCCAGAAGTTGTGGGTACTCCAACACTGGAAGTTTTTAAGAAGAGATTGGGCAGCCATTAGTCTGAAATGGTATAGGGCTTCCTGCTTGAGCAGGGGGTTGGACTAGAAGACCTCCAAAGTCCCTTCCAACTCTTGTTATTCTGTTACCTGCTAGTGAAAGGAGAAGGGAAGCATCCTTAATGCCTGCACAATCCTTTTAGTTTCTTTTTTTTTTCTTTTTGTGCCATGCCTTTTTTTAGAACAGCCGCCCAAATTCAGGAACTGTGCTGTGTTTTGTAGCTCTCCAAGCTGTTCAGGAAGCACTGCTATCTAAAACACCAGAATGCAAAATGCTTTATATAAATGAGGAATACATTTTTCTGGGGGCAGATTCTGCCTATTAAAAACATGAGGGACACCCTGTTTCATTTTTATGAAGAGACCTTTAGCCTGGCTTTCTTTTGGCCAATTTAGTGCCTCCAACCGGCAGGGGAACGTTTATGGCCCTTTCCTATTGATTTTATAAAATAAAATAAAATTTTATTTATTTGTCAAGCATGTATAAGATAACAAGTAAAAGTATAAACATAATTTGAATACATGAAAAGAGTAAGAGTAAAAAGGAATATTAGGACAGGGACGGTAGGCACGCTGGTGCACTTATGCACACCCCTTACAGACCTCTTAGGAATGGGGTGAGGTCAACAGTAGACAGTCTAAGGTTAAAGTTTTGGGGGTTTGGGGAAGAAACCACAGAGTCAGGTAGTGCATTCCAGGCATTGACCACTCTGTTACTGAAGTCATATTTTCTGCAATCAAGTTTGGAGCGGTTTACCTTGAGTTTGTATCTATTATTTGCTCGTGTATTGTTGTGGTTGAAACTGAAGTAGTCATTGACAGGTAGGACATTGTGGCAGATAATTTTATGTATTACACTTAGGTCAGACCGAAGTCGGCGTAGTTCTAAGATGTCTAAGCCCAAAATTTGAAGTCTGGTGGCATAAGGTATTTTACTGTGGTAGAGGAATGGAGGACTCTTCTCGTGAAATATCTCTGGACTCTCTCGATTGTATTTATGTCCAAAAGACTGCTTCTGTCCCTTGGTAACAGGAACGTAACCTAAGCCCATCAAGTCAAGAGGTCAGCAGATTCTCTTGAAGGTCCATCTCCTCTGAAAGAAGAACAGGCAGGTCTCCATTTGAAAATGTAGGTGTCAGCCCTGGAGCCATTCCCCCACCCCACCCCACCCCACCCCGGCACTTTCAGGGCTGCCACAGCAAACGGGAGGGAGGAGGAAGAGATAGCTAGGGGATTGTAGCCATAATAAAATTCTTTCTTCTGAGAACCAAGAACTTCCCCACCAGGTGCAAGGAGGTGGGATCTGAGACCAAGCGACCCTTGGACTGTGGCCTGGTTGGACCATGTGATGGACTACATGAGCAGGAGAAAGAAAATTTTATTTTTAACCGGGGGAAACCGGAGGGGGGTTTAGAGTCGGGTTTCCCCAGACGTGCCAATAGGACATGCCTAATAATAAGGTGACCAACTTTTTTACAATGAGAAGGACACAAATAAGCGCTCCATGGCATAGGGCCTGGGTACTTATGGGGCCGCCTTCTGCCGCCAATAGCCTCCCGATAGCCAGTTCGCCCTTAAATGAGTCCAGCAGGAGAAGGGCGGTATAAAAATTTAATAAATAAATAAATTGAAGAAAAAAAAATATCGTAAATAAAAGAAACATTTTGTCCATTGCAACAAAGAATCTAATGAGTGCGTGTGTGCCATGTCATGTTTTGGAAAAAGTAAACAAAGCCACTTGCGCGCAGCGCACTCTCTCAAAACAATTCTCCTGTGCGGCGCGCATGCGTCTCATAATTGCGTCTCGCCGCACTGTACCGAGCCTTGATGAATCGTCATGTCAAATACAAATATGTCACATCACACGCAACGGATCAGATCGGCACCAATCGAATACAGAGATTTACAGATTAATCTTCAAATATCGAAAAGGAGGACATGTAGGAGGACACTTTTCAAGAGAGGGCAGAACTTACAAAAGAAGGACTGTCCTCCCTAAAGGAGGACAATTGGTCACCTTACTAATAAATCTATACTTTGAGGAACATGCCTGCCTTGGAGTTTTGATTCCGTTGGGTGTTTCTTGTAACCCTGAACAGTAGCTCTTGTTTAATAAGATGATAGCAGTGATAGCTCCCACAGAGTTTAAGGGTTGGAAATAACAACCGAGAATGGAGTGGAATATATTAAGGCTATTAACCAGAATACTCCGAAGTGATGACACTTGTGAACAGGCAGAACGATTCGATTAGCATGTGAGAACAGCACAAGGGACTGCTTTCGTCAGCACCTAATTCTACATTCAAGCTTAGCCAGATGGAAAAGTTACAGGGTTGCCCACTTTAGAAGAACCAGGGGGAATCAGTTGGCCTTCTCTAATTGCTGAGATCTGGTCTACCGTGATAGCAAGGGGTGTTCTCTTTTCAATTAACGTGGACCAATTTAAGGAAAGACTGGATCCGTTCCCTTGGCTTTGGTTCCCCTCTAAACAAAGGCCAAAATAAACAGCCACAGTTTAGGTTCTGCAACGAACTTTGCAAAACCCGCGAGAGAGAATTCGCAAAACGTTGCCTGTGCAGGACACCTGCCTGTTTGTCCTTTTCGAGAAAAAGGATAGTTACCTGCATCAATAGGTGATTAGCAAGAGGATTGAAACCACTCCGGCCTTAGCAAACCTAGAACGAAATTGGGTGCTAAAGTAAAACATACCTAGTTGCAAAAGATTTACGTAATGTAGGTAATTGTCTTTCCCTTTCCATGTAGCTGGTTACAGGTATTTTTTAACTGATGATTGGTCGCTTAGCAACCATTTGAATTTGTAACTTATCTGGATAAAAAGTTATGACCCAATTCTGAAGTTTCAATATTCTGTATTTCAGGCTTTTGACAACATGGCTGCATTTACCACTGTTTGCAGGGTCTCCTAGGCACATGACCGTTTTTAAGGACATTTTTGCCCCAAACCTGAAGTTACTTCCGATTTTCGGCAGAACTGTGCCATAACAAACAAGAGATTTGCTTAATGATCCCTGCATTCTTTCTATCTATCTATCTATCTATCTATCTATCTATCTATCTATCTATCTACCTACCTACCTACCTACCTACCTACCTACCTACCTACCTATCATCTCAATCCAGTCTGTATTTGTCTATCACCTGTATCTGTCTATCTATATGTCTGTCTATTGATCTATCTGATTCTATCGTCTGTCTGTCTAACTATTGATCCATCTGACTGTATTGTCTGTCTGTCTGTCTATCTCTATTGTCCACCCACCCATCCATCCATCCATCCATCCATCCATCCATCCATCTATCTATCTATATCTATCTATCTATCTATCTATCTATCTATCTATCTATATTGTCCACCCACTCATCCATCCATCCATCCAAACATCCATCCATCCATCCATCCATCCATCCATCCATCCATCCATCTATCTATCTATCTATCTATCTATCTATCTATCTATATCCATCCCATCCTGCAATTTCAACTCTTGGTGGCAAACACAATTTGTTTTTTAAAAAACCAACAAAATAAGAACAATGACACAATAATAAGGTACCGTTCTTCTTTCATGGTTTTACTTCTGTTGGATTTTTACATACTTGGTGTCTGAGGGTAGCCTAATCCAATCTGTACAATAGCCATACTAAAAAAAAAAAGTGATCTCTGTGAAATTTTCTTCAATATATATATAAGATTGCACTGCCAATATTTGCTTTGAACTGGAAATATAACTTAGAATTATTACAAGGAAGAAAAAACCCCAATCAAATTAAAATGTATCCTCCACATTTTTTGTTTCAAATTAAACTAGCCCATTGTACCATGATGTTATTAAAATCCTAACCACTTTTTGGGGGGCTAATATCTTTGTTTCTTTTTAAAAAGAATGCATTCTAAGTGCAGGTTGGAAGTGTTTAATTAGGAAAATCACACATGGCTAAAAGGGTGAGGATTGGAATGGAGTTCTCCTTCAAATTAGCCTTAAGATTTTGCAACAGTATAATACTCTTTCACTGAAGCATCATTTTTTGCAGAAGATGTATTTTTTTGAAGTAGTGTTGGGGGGAAAAATAGTGCTAATTACAAGACTGATTTCAACATCGCTCAGAGTTATGAAATGATTCTCAGATGCTTCCACAAAGGGCCTTCATTTGGCTAATACCACACTTTCCTCGGAGAGAGCTAAGCTAGCCCTGTCTATAGGAATTTCGAAGTATCCTGAAAGGGTGGTGGTGGTGGTGAATTGTTCCTTCTAAGTCAGAGATCTTCAAACATGGCAGCTTTAAGACTTGTGGACTTCAACTCTCAGAATTCTGGGAGTTGAAGTCCACAAGTCTTAAAGCTGCCATGTTTGAAGACCTCTGTTCTAAATTGACAAAAGGATTCATTGGCAAATCGGAGGTACTGCATCAGTGGTGAAATCCAAATTTTTTTTACTACCAGTTCTGTGGGCATGGCTTGGTGGGCATGGTGTGGCTCGGTGGGCATGGCAGGGGAAGGATACTGCAAAATCTCCATTCCCACCCCACTCCAGGGGAAGGATACTGCAAAATCTCCATTCCCTCCCCACTCTGGAGTCAGCCAGTGGTGGTATTTGCCGGTTCTCCGAACTGCTCAAAATTTCCGCTACTGTTTCTCTAGAACCTGTTAGAACCTGTTGGATTTCACCCCTGTGCTGCATTAATCTGACAGTATCTGAGAAAACATGTCGCCCTTCTTCCCCTATCTTGAGTGCTAGGAAGCTCATATGCAACCTCTTGGATTGAACCTCCAAGACAAAACATTGATGAAATAATTTGCTGGTTCTTGAAATCTCTACACACATTTAATCTGTAGAATATCTCGTTTCCCTACTCCAGTCCCTGAGTCATCTGAGCCATGGTGGCACAGTAGTTAGAATGCAATATTGAGGGCTGACTCTACCCAGAGCCAGAAGTTTGATTCTGACCGACTCAAAGTTGACTCAGCCTTCCATCTTTCCAAGGTCGATAAAATGAGGACCCAGATTGTTGGAGGCAATGTGCTGACCCTGTAAACCACTTAGGGCTGTAAAGCACTGTGAAGCGGTATATAAGTCTAAGTGCTATCTGCAATAAACCTATACAGACCACTTAGATGCTTTGAATTGTGCATCAATTCAATAAAGTTGTTGGTTATTACCATTAAGGGAAGCACGATGGCTCAGTGGTTACAATGCTGGGCTTGTTGGCTGGAAAGCTGACAGCCTGGGTTTGAGACCCGAGTGTTGTGGGATGGAGTGAGCTCCTGTTTCTTGCTCCAGCTCCTGCCCACCTAGCAATTTGAAAGCATGTCAATGTGAGTAGATAAATAGGTACCACTTCAACGGGGAGGAAACAACGCCCCGTGACATCTTGCTGGTCATGATGTCTTTGAATAACCCTTGCTCAAGGGACCTTGAAACGGAGATGAGTGCCACTGCAATTGGTTATGACTAGTGAAGTAACATTTGCAGGGACTCCTTTTTTTAATCACTATTAAAGCCTTACATGACTTAGGGCCAGCTTATTTGAAGAAACGTCACTCCACCAAGCCCACCAGGACAGGAAGGCAGGGTATGTTACACGTCCCATCGATTAGGGATGTACATCTGGTGGGACCGCGAAAAAGGGCCTTCTTGGGGGTGGCCCCTTCTCTATGGAACATCATCTCCAAGGTACGGTTCACACACACACACACACACACACACACACACAGTTGCTTTTCTGAAAGGCCTTAAAAACTCAGGGACACCAAATAGAGATGGAGCCAATCAAGTTGTTGATTTGATTGCATTGTTACTGCAATGGGAGGGAGGATTTTTTTTTAATGGGTTCATGATTGGTAGATTTTTAACTGCTACAAACCACAGAGTCACCGATGTGTGAGCTTGGCTGGCCATTTTAGTTTTTGGTTTATATTCCTTGCTGCTTTTAAATCATTCCTTATTTTTTCTTGGTTGGCCTTTAATTGGGCTGTCTTTAATTATTGATGTTTGTGGGTTTCTTATTGTGCTTTTCGGTTTTATGCTGCTATTTCTCCATTTCTAATGCACTGTCTGCGATTTTCTCATTAGGTTAAAAACCCAATCCAAGATAAGGCTTAGCAACGCCCACCCCTCTCCCTCAAACCAATTTGTCAGCTTATTTGTCCTTAGTTTTGTTAATCAAATCCTGCCACTCGATGGCTATTTTTAGACAATGAAGTCATCCAAGGATTGCAATATCCTTTAAACTTTAAAAAAAAAAATCACATTTAGGTTTCCTTGAGTTAAGTGCCCTTTTCAAAACGACCTGCCAACTTTCCCAACTACCCCTTCAAGGGCAAATGGAGAAGGTCTGAGTCACCTCACAGACTGGCGGTAATAAATCCAGTGTTGGGAGAATATAGATCCATTGAAGAACTCCTTGTAGAGGACACCACCAAGAAAACACTATAAATCATTCCTCGTTGACCTTTATTCACAGAAAACACATCAGGCTGAAAAATATGCCCCGTTTTGAGGTGATGCAAATTTATAGGACCCTTTATTTAATGAGGGGGAGGGTTCATTTCTCTATAAAGGTACAGAATTTCAAAGGAGGTTATCATATATCTTGCTATGAGATCTGCTTTTTTAAGGGCAGTGACAGGGTTGAAGTGGTGTCCCATTTAACGTCTTACATCTTATAGAACAGTGTTTCTCAACCTTGGTAGCTTGAAGATGGGTGGACTTCAACTCCCAGAATCCCCCAGCCAGCAGTTCTAGATTGCTTCTCTCCTCGATTAGTTTCCATCCGTTGTTGCTTCTTGTCCTGCCTTCTGATGTTTGGAGAAAAGGTTGACCCCTCCTCTTCTTTGTGGCAGCCCCTCAAATATCATGTGTCCCGTAGTCCTTGGTTTCTCTAGACCCGTGATGGCGAACCTATGGCACGGGTGCCACAGGTGGCACATGGAGCCATATCTATGGCCACGTGAGCGCATGTGACATGCAGGTCAGCTGATTTTCAGGCCTTCTGGGCCCACTGGAAGTCGGGAAATAGGCTGTTTCCGGCCTCCGGGGGGATGGGAAAGGCCATTTTCGCCCTCCCCAGGCTCCTAGAAAGCCTCTGGAGCCTGGGGAGGGCAAAAAATGGGCCTACCGGGCCCACCGTGTCATCACGTGCCAAGAGTGGGGGGTCACGCATGCATGTGTGGGAGGACAGGGCACATTGAATTATGGGTGTGCGCACACACGCGCGCAATTCCCCACTGAGTTTACTTTCAGGGAAGGCAGCAATACCAATCTTAAAAGGCAGCAAGGACTGGAAACCACAGATCCCAGGGAGGCTGTTAACTATGTTTGTGAATTCTGCATTGATTAAATTACTAGTTTCCTCTTGGGAAACTGAGATGCTTGCCAATGTTTGTCTGGCTACCAGAGAAGGGTATCTTTGCGTTGTCTAACCTAAAATTTTAGTAGAGAACAGCCACAATTGGAAGCATTTTTGCTATGTATATCTCTCTCTCCCACGAACATGGTTTCCATTTTTTTTTCATCCATCAAAGATAATTTATAGATCTCAGGACCTAGCCTATTTTGAGTTTGGCCCAGTGGATCATTTGTACTCTGTGAGGAATCATTTATTGTTCTGGACTCCTTTTATTCTTCCCAACCCTTGAAAAGAAATTATCTAGAGAGCCTCGGAGTTCTATTCATCATTAGGGCAAACCTCTGAAAAATGAAGGAATGGGGCCAAATTTGATGTGGAGGGAGATGTTGGCAAAAAAAAAAAAAAAAGTTTTAAAAATGAGTCCATTCAGCCCAGGCTGCAGAGAAAAAGATTCCCTCCCCTCTGGGAAGAACAGCTGCTCAGAATATTGGTAATTGCTCCATGTTGAGAGGCCTCCCCCTTGGTCCTAGGACCTACAGCAAAGCTGTTGTTAAGGAGTTGGAAAGAATCCCAGAGTTCAAAACGAAACAAACAAGAACACCAGCATTCAAACAGTGCCATACTCCCATCCCCAGCTGTTGCGTGTGTTATTTAAAGCACCTAAATGTTGAAAACTGAAGGGGACTGCAAAATATGCAGAGGTCACATCAGCAAGGCCCCATGCACATATGTGCTATTTGTTTCCGACTCTAGGGGGCGGTGCTCATCTCTGTTTCAAAGCTGAAGAGCCAGCGCTGTCCGAAGACGTCTCCGTGGTCATGTGGCCGGCATAACTCAATGCCAAAGGTGCACGGAAAGCTGTTACCTTCCCACCAAAGGTGGTCCCTAGTTTTCTACTTGCATTTTTTACGTGCTTTCGAACTTCTAGGTTGGCAGAAGCTGGGACAAGTATGTCTGTGTATATATTTATATTAAATTTATATTTATTTATATTAGAGGTTAATACATCTGCCTAATATGCAAGCAAGTCCAGGTTCGAATCCCAGAAGGGTATGGCTAGCTGATGAGAGCTAAATAGCTTCAAATAGATCTATTCTAGTCTCCCTTTATTTCTTTGTCAGTAAATATAAATTTAACACAAAATAGTTTGTCGTGAAAGCGAAAGGAAGCAGTATGCTCCTTCCCATATTTGGGTAGACCAGGTTGCTTCGATAGAAAACATATATATATAAAGTGTTTTTCTATCGAGACACTTGGTCTACCCCAACATGTGGGAGGGGGCATTCTGTTCCCTTTCACCTTTTAGCTCCAATCCAGGAGCCCTCAAGCAGTCGCATTTATGACAAACCATTTTATACCAAATTTATGTTTTGCTGATAAAGAAATAAAGGGAGACTAGTATAGATCTATTTCAAGCTATTTAGCTCTCATCAGCTAGCCATACCCTTACTCGGATGAAGGGAGGAGAACTTGTGGCTCCGAAGCTTAATTCAACTGCCTAACATGCAGGAAGCCCAAGTTCGGATCCGAGTAAGGGTATGGCTAGCTGATGAAAGCTAAAAAGCTTGAAATAGATCTATACTAGTCTCCCTTTATTTCTTCATCAGCAAAAAATAAATTTGATATATATATATATATATATGTCTGTATGTATGTGTGTGTGCGTACATACATACATACATACATACATATATACATAAATACATACATATATATTCAGATATTATCTTAACAGCTCTTAGGTCCTTTGTTAGGACCTGAAATGTTAAGGTTTTACCAGTCCTAGACTGTGAGTCAAATTGAAGATTAAATAACAACAACAACAACAATAACATCACTCCAGACTTAACTGTCAACAAGAAAGGCAAAAAAAGTCTGGATAGTGGATGTGGCAGTACCTGGAGAGAGCCGAAGTGAAGAGAAAGAACTGGAGAAGATAACTAAATACAAAGACCTGCAAATAGAAATAGAACGACTGTGGCAAAGGCAAACAAAGGTAGTCGCAATAGTAACAGGCACCCCAGGTGAATTCCCAAAGCAACTGGAGCACCACTTGAACACCATCGGCACTGACAAATTCAAAGTCGATCGCAAAAGGCGGCTTTACTTGGAACAGCTTCCATCCTGCGGTAATATCTATAACCCCATCAAACATCCACATCTGCCTATCCCAGGTTTTTGGGAAGGACCTGACAGGCAGACAAAAATGCCAAATCCAATCTGAACATCTGGCTGACTATAGGATGAACCATAATAATAATAATGCTACAATACTATGATGATTTAACGTATGTGTATGTGTGTGCGCACAGAGGCAGAATCAGCAGCCAGGTAGAAAGATAAGCCAACATTTCCAACCTTAGATAATGGCTTGTTATCTAAGCTCCGCACAGCTCCAGCCCCTCCGTTGGAAACTGGATTCGCGATTTTATGTTTGAACAGCAGCTGAGCAGAAAAACCGACAGACTCAGCTGCTGAACGCTGATGATAGGATGGGCCCGAAGACGATTCAGAAATGGTGCAATCGCCCTTGTGCGAAAGCAATAAAAGGGCAAGTCCTGCCTCTTGGAAACCCTCTTCCCAAATCCCCACGGACGTGCGAATGTCAAAAGAACAATGACGCTGCAATATCTCAAAATCATCTTTATTCCTGGCTCTGCTATACCGGGTACATAGATTTTTCCACCTCTATTACAGAAAAAAAAAAAATGTTTTCCTATGCTGCAGTCACCTGCTTGGTATGTGAATACTTTACACCAAGTATTTGTGTTTTGGTTTCCTGCTTTTTTACTGAAGTAGTAACATCTGTCTCTCAAACAAACCATTTCAAATTTCAAGCTGGGGAAGGCCTATATCAGGGGTGTCAAACTCGCGTCGTCACATCGTCAACATGTGACGCATCATGACTTTTCCCCCTTCACTAAACCGGGGGGGAGGGGGGGAGCATGGCCAGCACGTGACACATCTGGCCTGCGGGCCATGAGTTTGACACTCCTGGCCTATATAATTGTATGCAGTTCTATGCCAACGCTTCCTTCTCTGTGCATACCTACAAATACCAGATTACAACCCTTCTCGGTAACTCAGAGGAACATCTGATAACATGAACTATACCTGGCGTTTTAAAGATGACTGCAGACATGCAATTTTAGCGAAAATGAGACGCAATGTTTCAAGCGAGAAAGATAAATCAGGAAAGACTGTATTGGAAGGAGGGTGGGAAATGCTGATAGTATAACTCACGAGGGCTTATCTTACTGAGCTATTAAGAGTTAACTTGGATAGGATGGTAGGACTAAAAAGAAGGGAGAAATTATGCATGTCGTTGGGGGATAAATTAACGAGCGTCCCTGGCAGAAAGGAGCAGGGCATCTCTTACTATAGTTGGCATGCCTAAAATTAAAAAAGAAAGGAAGCTGCGTATATAGACATTGTTTAAAATTGAGACGAGGAAAAATGGGAGGAGTGAGGAAACAGAAAGGTTTGAAGCAACAAGGAAGAAAAGCATGGCGGTCACCTGCCAAATGTATTTGCATTTCCTTCCTTTGGCTGCGTTTCTGTAGGTTTCTCCACCATTTTGTTCTAGGAAATCTTCAGGAATGCTCATTGCTGTTTATTATGATGCCCTTTGACTACAAAGAGCAATGATACGATTCTTAACCTCACCCTGAGCTTCCTGAGCAACCGGCAAGCAAAAGAATTCTTCACACCTCACGTCTCCAAACCGTTCATGGAAATGATTGTTTCATAGTGGAGGGTACAATTGATCAATAATCAAAGCTCCCACTCCTTTTTAATGTGTATCGTATACACTTGCACTTTTACACCTGCACGTAAAAGGAGCAGGGCTTTAATCACAGGTTGTTTGCCCTGTTGAAGCCAGGAATATTACAATAGATGCCCTCGTCCCAACAACAATTCATACTCAAGCTGGGCTGGAAGAAAGAACCCTGTAAAACAGAATGCAACTAATCCTGACCTGACATAGCTTTTAACAGAGCTGGACACAAATTTTGGCAAGAATTTCAATTTCCACCAAAGAAAAGAATAGTAAATAGGTATGTGTGTGTGTGTGTATATATACACAAGAATATTAGGTAAAAGTTATGCACCTTAATGATGTTCTTCTAACCACAAAAGAAGCTAACTCCTCATTAGTTCTTTAAATTAAAGGTGGAACTTCTGGGTTATCTTCAAAGCTCAAGTTCTCGGCGTCCACAACTTTGGGCTGCTGAAGCCTTAAAGGTCCTTGCCCCACCCGATCCTTTTTATGGACAATATTTGTCACATCAGGGAAGGAATATTTGGTAGGATCCACTTCCAACTTCTCCAGGCCCTCGTGTCTGCAATAGTAAGCAAAGAAACAAACAAACAAAAGAAAGAAAGGGAAAGTTAACCTACCTTCATATAAAACAGAGCAAATTCAGTTTTAGAAAAAGCCTTCCAAATACGTATTGCTATCCAGCAGGACATGAGCGATTCCAGGTCTCAAGAGCTCCTTCAGAAATCCAAGCAGGGGCTTCACAGAAGTTCAGGAGAACCTCTAGCTAAGATTCTGAGCAGTTCAGAGAACCTCCTGGCCTCTCCCCTCCCAGGAATCTCCGCAGAGACTCGAGAAGGGCGAAAAATAGGCCTCCAGAGCCTGTGGGGGACATTTTCACCCTCCCGGAGGCTCGAGGAAAACCTCCGGAGCCCAGGGAGGGCAAAAATGCCCACCACCACCCCGCCCCACCCCGCCATGGTGCAGGAAGCTGACTAGGCCACGCCCACCCAGCAACCGGGCAGAGAATCCCTTGCTAAAATTTTTGAAGCCCACCCCTGAATCCAAGCACAATTTGAGATGTTCTCTAATCAAGATGTTCTCTACTTTTCTCCCCAGAGCTTTAAAAATATATTCTGATGATTAAGTGGCTTCTTGTGAATTCCTTGATAACATTCATCTGTAATTATCACTTTGCTCATTTCAGGTCTACAAGATCTGTCGGAAACTGGATATGATTTTCTTAAAGACTCTGCTCTACCTTTCTCTCTCTCCTGAGGAGCAAACACTGCTACTGTTTTCCTTCACAGCCCTCGATTTTCTTTTCACGTTCTTAAGAACTAGCATTAAGAAGATTGGTTGGCTTTGATTTCCTAGTAAGGCCAATCTTCACAAGTCTAACTGGAAGCTCATGCTTAGTCCTGATAAATAAATATAGCGAGAGAGTTTAAGACAGGATGGGCCCTTTAATTTTTTTTAGGAGAGAATTCTACAAAGATTCACTCCAAAAGTCTATGGAGATTCTCAGTCATCCAGGTCATGGTTGTCCCAAAGGTGCTTCCCCCCCCCACCTTTTTAAGAGGCAACTTCAAACCCAAGAATACACTAAGGCAGAAGCTCGTCCACCCCAAAGACAAAACACCCAGACAGAAACTGAGCAACGTGATATATGCAGTACAATGCAGTGAGCCATGGGCAGATAAGTACAATGGGGAAACAAAACAGCCACTTCATAAACGCATGGCACAACATAGGAGAACAAACCCATCAGGAGAAGATTCTGCAGTCCATCTGCATTTAAAAGACACAGGCCACTCTTTTGAAGACAACGACATCCATATTTTGGACAGAGAGGATCGCTGGTTTGAAAGAGGGGTCAAAGAGGCCATCTATGTCAGAATTGAACAGCCCTCTCTCAACAGAAGGGGGAGGGATATGACATCATCTATCTCCAGTCTACAACACAGTCCTTTCAACAGTTCCAAGAAGGCTCCATACCAATTTGCACCACTCAGGTGACCCTGAGGACACAGATAAACCTCCAGGTGACCTTAACGACCCACTAAAAGGGGTCAAAGCAAATGACCAGCTGTCTGCAAGGAGTAATAAATCCTTCCATTCCCCACCATCCTGTCAGAGCTGAAGAAGCTTCCTTCATGAGAAGTGAAATGTCTTCAAAGAAAAAACAGAAACTCCAGTTGCCTCTTGGGGGGGGGAAAAAGCACCATTCTCTCCAAAAATTTTAGAGATTGTCAGATATAATTAGCTAACATGGATTCTACAACCAATACTTTGTTTCCTGTCAAGATAGAAGAAAGATGTATGTAATTGTGTCTACTAATGCTGCTTAAAATGACTTTTCAACAGAGTGTAAGCTATGCTTGATGAAAGTCGGGAGATGAGTAAACAGAGATTGGAAGCTGGAGAGTTATAACTTTATAATATAACGCAGGTACCCACTCATTGGCTTGCTTAAGATGTTACCATGGCAGATTGTGTTATGTAAAATTACATTATGCCTGTTAAACCTGCTATATTCCTATCTCGCACCCATGAAATCATACCTTGGTCCAAGATTTTTTAGCCTTGATAGTATGAGAGTTTCCTGGCAAACAAGTAAACAAGACAAACACATCCTACTGAAATCGCATTACTATGCACTGTATTTATTTCTATGAAACTGTCTTCATGGGCATCTGGTAGAGTGTGGAGTTACAAAATGTTGCCTCATGATGAAAACACTGCAACTTGTATACAGTAGTGGCCAAAATTGTGGAAACCTTTTGGGAAAAGTGTATTTTCTAAAACTACTTTTATTTTTTTTTGAGTAGTACCATAAGATGATATATCAATGGAAAGATAATTTAATCAAGAATGTAATGCAATAACTTTTATGAAGGATTTGCCATTAGAATAGCAGTTACAGTACAAAGAAGAAAAGTGAAACACATAGAAAAAATAAGATATACAAAAATGATCACCATAGAAAAAAATGAGATCTAAAAAAATGATCACCGTGTCAGTTAATCCTTAGTTGGGTAACCTTTAGCATGAATTATGGCCTTATAACGTCTTCCCATGGAGTGAACCAAGTCTTTGAGTTCTGCAGCTGTTCTAATGTGAAACCAAGATTGAAGGATTGCTTCTATTAACTGGGTTTTATTGCTGGGTTGCTTCTGACTAACAAGTTTAGTTGGCTCCATAGATTTTCCATTGGATGAAGGTCTGGGCTATTCCCAGGCCATTCCAGCAGTGGAATAGGATTATCTTGAAACTCCAAAAAACACTGGTGTTATTAGCCATCAAGCCTCAAAAATACACTTTTCCGAAAAGGTTTCCACAATTTTGGCCACTATTGTAATTTGATATTGCATCAGAAGTTGGAATGCCAAGAACCTGAGGACAGGATTTGTGCCACAATAGCCTGTGTTTGTGTGTGTGTGTTTGTGTTTGTGTGCTGTCTTTTCACGATCCAGGTTAGCTGTGGGTGCCTTGTCCCCAACATACTGCTATTCAGGCAGTGCTACCAAGACAGACTTGAATCCAGGTAGTCCTTGACTTACAACCACAATTGAGCCCCAAATTTACAAAGTTGCTAAGCGAGACAGTTATAAAGTGAGCTTTGCCCCCTTTCCCCCCAACCTTTCTTGCCACAGTTGTTGAGTGAATTACTGCAGTTGTTAAAAGTAATAACCCAGCTGTTAGGTGAGTCTGGCTTCTGGGACCCTGCAACCATCATAAATACGAGCCAGGTGCCAAGCATCTGATATATATATATTGCTTTAATTTATATGCCGCCCTTCTCCGGAGACTCAGGGCGGCTTACAATGCGCTAAGCAATAGCCTTCATACTTTTGTATATTTTTACAAAGTCAGCTTATTGCCCCCACAAACTGGGTCCTCATTTCACCAACCTTTGAAAGGATGGAAGGCTGCATCAACCTTGAGTCTGGGGAGATTCGAACTTACTAATTGCAGACAGCTGGAGTTAAATTACAATGCATTAGTCTGTTGAGCTATCCAGGCTCCTAATTTTGATCACCTGACCATAGAGATGCTGCAACGGTTGTGTGAAAAACAGTCATAAGTCACTTTTTTTTCAATGTTGTAACTTTGAATGGCTACTAAACAAATGGTCCAGACTACTTGTACGCCATAAAATCTGAAGCTATAACAAAGGGAAGGGGATTCAGATGGAAGAGAAAGGAACTATGTGGTTTTCTCTCCTTGCTTTGTTCACACCAAACTTTATGCATTTCCCCAAAAGTGTTTCTTCCATTGAAAGCAGAAAAGCAGGGACGGTGACCTCCATGAGAAAGAAAATCCCATTTTGTGTGAAGGAAGCAAACAGATTTCTCTTTGAAACACAACTATTTGTTTTCCCATTGTTTATTTCTTTGCATCTCACTTTTATTATTTTTATAAATACAGATAGTCCTCAATTTACGACCACCATTGAGCCCAACATTTCTTTTGCTAAGCGAGACATTGGTTAAGTGAGGCTTGACCCATTTTACGACCTTTCTTGCCACGGTTGTTAAGTGAATCTCTGCAGAAATTTCGAGGAGTTCGGAGAACCGGTAGCGGAAATTTTGAGTAGTTTGGAGAACTGGCAAACGCCACCTTTGGCTGGCCCCAGAGTAGGGTGGGAATGGAGTTTTTGCAATATCCTTCCCCCAGGAGTGGGGAGGGAATGGGGATTTTGCAGTATCCTTCCCCTGCCTCACCCACCAAGCCACGCCCACAGAATCGGTAGTAAAAAAAAATTGAATTTCACCACTGCTCTAGACTGAATAATAATAATAATAATAATAATAATAATAATAATAATAATAATAATAATAATAATTTTATTTTTATACCGCCCTTCTCCCGAAGGACTCAGGGCGGTGTACAGCCTATTTAAAAACACAGACAAAACAACAATATAAAATTTAAAATAATTAAATAAGTGGCTCAGATTTAAAACCCCAATAAATTTAAATACCCCAATTTAAAACTATTGTGTTGCTAGTTGTGTTGATTCCTTAACCACTAGTCCAAACTGATTCTCTACCAATAACTCAAGGCAGCGAACGTATCCACCACACCTCCCTCCTGTTTCCCCCCACAAAATGAAAAGGAATTAGGAAAGGATCAAAGTGCTTTGCTCTTCTGGACCTATTTCTTGCTCTGCCTCTTAAGTAGACAGCAAGGAGCTTGCTCGGGGTCAGTTACTGCACTTGAACCTTGGCTAAACACCTTTCATTTGGCCCAGAATTGGAGAGCTGGCACTTTCCCATCACGCTAAATTGCCAATGTCAGATTCTGCAAGGTAATCATCTGCCAAAAGTTTTTCTAATTACCTGATTAAGAACATGAAAACCGGTAATATATATCTACGGGATTCACATCACAGCAAGGTGCAATTCTCCTTGCCACTGGCACAGCACAACCGTGGGAGTCAGGCAACTGGACTTTCTTGGTTTTTTTTTCTTCTGAAGACGTTTTTCTTCTCATCCAAGAAGCTTCTTCAGCTCTGACAGGATAGTGGGAGAATGGAAGGATTTATACTCCTTGCAGACAGCTGGTCGTTTGCATGGTTGTCCCAAAGCCAAGGGACTTCTTGGAAGTCCAGTTGCCTCCAGAAAAAGCACCTTTGGGACAACCATAACCTGGATCAGAGGTGGGTTTCACATCAGAGGTAACCAGTTCTGGAGAACCGGTAGCAGAAATTTTGAGTAGTTCGGAGAACTGGTAGTAAAAATGCTGACTGGCCCTGCCCCCATCTATTCTCTGCCTCCCAAGTCCCAAGCTGATCAGGAGGAAATGGGGATTTTGCAGTAACCTTCCCCTGGAGTGGGGTGGGAATTGTTTTGTCCCTGTACCATGCACACCCCCCCACAGACAGGCCGGAGTTAATAAGCCACACGACAAAACTCTTTGATGATAAAGCTGGCAGCAACCCAGTGGCTAGCTGTCAATTCAGACTTTACTCACACAAAACAAAGATTAGACTGTAGCATTCCGATAAAACAGGCAGAGTGTCAATAATACAAGGATTAGTCCAAATGCAGTCCGATAAAGCAGGCAAAGTCCAGTAACGCAGAGATCATGGAGTAATTTCAGTTTTTGCTTGTCACAAACTGAACTGGCCACCACACCCACATTTATACCCTGTGGGGTGTGGTCCAGTGACTCAGCTAATCTCTGGCACGCCTTCCCCTCTGCTGCGCACGCTTTTCCCTGCGCCTCTGGCGAGGGTCCAGCCAGCACTTATCTTCCTCGTCGCTGTCCACCTGTGGCTGCGGGGATGTGCTTGGCTCTGAGTCTATCGTTTGGCCTTCGGTGTCCTCCGGAGGCATTGCCAGAGAGGAGGGTCCTGGAGAGGGAGGCCTTGCCAACTCCTCCCCCTCACTCTCAGAGTCTGCATCTGTCGATGGCCCAGGCTCAGGCAATGGAGCCACAACAGGAATGGAGATTTTACAGTATCCTTCCCCTGCCACGCCCACCAAGCCACGCCCACCAACCACACCCACAGTAGTAAAAAATTCTGAAACCCACCACTGACCTGATGACTTGAGAATCTCTACAGACTCAAAGAAGGGAAACCTGAATTACCATCAGAACAAGAGAGAAGCAGGAAAACCACCTTTCTTTTCTTCTGTTTCCCAACAAAAGGTATTTTTGGAAGGTGTTTCAGGTAGTCCTTGACCTACGACTATAACTGATCCCAAAATTGTCACCTCTAAGCAAGGCAGTTGTTAAGCGAGTCGTGCCCCATTTGACGGCCTTTGGCCATGGTTGTGACAAGCGTGTCACTTCAGTGGTTAAGTGAATCAAGCAGTCGTTAGGTGATCTGTCTCCCTCATTGACTTTCTGGTGTTGGAAGAAATATCCTTCTGGGTTCAGCTCCAAGTGGGGAAAAAGACACTGGAGACATGGAGACTGCTTGGAAAGATGGTTTAATGGTGGACGGGATCACATGGCTTGAGCTCCTGAACAGAAAAAAGGGCAGATACAGAAAATCCTTGGGTTTTTATGCTCTCTCTGGCTCTGCATTTCTTGGGGCCCCGAAAGAGTATCCTGATTGGTTGTCAGACTCCCAGGGGGTGGGGGTCTGGGCTAGAATTGCTGACTGATGCAATCTTCCCAGATGCCATGTGGTGAGTTTCTGTTTAGATGGGTCCTATTGTGTTGCAGATGATGGTCCATTGACAAAAGTGTGGGGGGGATTGGGTTTCTGCCTCTGGCCCATTGACAAAGGTGGGAGTGGGGAGGCAGGAAGGTGGGACCTGCTTCGTCTTTAAAACATGTTTCTCCATTTCTCATCCAGGGAAACATAATATTCTGCCTTTTTAATATTTCCTAAAATATTTCATTCTTCTAGGAGAGGGGTGGTTGCTAACTTCCTATACTGAGAACCTTCACACCAGTTGCCAAGCACCCAAACCTTGATCATGTGACTTGGGGGGGGGGATGCTGCAACAATCATACTGTAAGTGTGAGTACTGGTCATAAGTCCATTTTTTCAGTGCCATTGTAACTTTGAACGGTCATTGAATGAATGTTTGTAAGTGGAGAACTACCTATACTTACTTTGAAAATGAAACTTAAAACTCCAGCGATACCGGTGGAAGTTTCTATTGAAATGCAAGGAGCGTTTTG